AGAAGTGTCACTGGGAGTCTGGATCCAAAATGCTGTTTGCTCGCAGCCTTGTTAAATGCAAAGAATATGTGAAAGGAGCTGCCCAGGGCCTTTGTGGTAACACGTAACAGCCTAGTTTTCCAAGGAAATGAAATAAGACATAGCGCGCTGTGTATGACTGTATCCATGCCCAATTTCAACCCTAGCAGGCAGAGGAGGGAAGAGCTCCATGGTACAAAGTTGCTACACGGCTATTGAAAATAGGAGGTCGAGGGAGGAAGTAAAAACCCTTGTGTCATGCCCCCGTGGAAGGGAAAGACTGTAGGATGCTTTGGGAGCATTAGGCACCGAGAATCCAGAGCAGAGGGTGCTGTCAACAGAGGAATCTGCATTAGAGAGGGCGTAGTTGGCTGCTTGGCTTAGGGAGTGACTTGCAGGATTGGGAGCAGGGCACGAGCTGGGCTGTGCCACATCCCACCCCTCAGATGGCCCCTGCGGAACAATGCAGAGTGCCAGGGGTGATGCCCAGGCAGGACTGGTGTTGCTCCTCTCCCTGATAAGCAACAGTCCTGCAGCTTCATCCTGCAGAAAGGGACGGGGTCTCTCAAATCCAAACAAGGGGAAACCACATCAGATGAAGGAATGATTTTATTGCCACCTACGGTAAGAACAGAATTGGGCCCTGGCACACAAGCAAGGTGTGGGCAAGGAGACTGAAGCCAAGGAGAAAAGCCCGGAACCTGCACTCCTGGCCCATTCCCTTCCTCAGGAGACATCCTCCTCCTTGCAGAAGGAGCACAGATAAACCTAAAATGGTGAGGCACGACTTCACGGCACTGCTTCCGTATACTCCACAACTACAAGAGGCAGCCCCAGCCCTGGAGAGCCTGGGCTTTAATGCAAATGCTCTCTCAAATCTAATGCTTTTATGTGGAAGAGCTCAGTCCCAGTGGAGTCAGCACCTTTGCCAGGAGGATAAAGAACAGATTTTGTGCTTTATTTCTTGGTCTTTTTGCCTTTGCCCTTCTTCTTCCTTTTTGACTTGAAGAGGGATCGAACCAAGTAGCCTCTCCAACATGCCTGGATGCGGATGGCAGCAAGGGTCATGGTGCTGAGTTCCTTCAAAGCCTCCTCCTCCTCCTTCTGACGTATCCTGCGCTCCTCATCAATCTGGGAATACTCCTGGAGAAGCACATCGTGTTTCTCCATCAGCAGGGACAGCTGGGCCTTCTCCTCCATGTAAGCAACATGCAACTCCTCGTACTCAGCCTAGCAAGACAGCAGATACCAGGTACAGCAATTCCAAGGGCATTCAGCAGCTCATCCCTGCAAATCCCTAGGTAAAGGATTCTTAAACCCATCCCGAATCCAGGCAGAACCACGACTGGGAGCTGAGCTGAGCCTTTCCAAAGGGACTCAAAAAGGAGGCATGTGCCCAGGGGATTTCATGAGATGCCAGGCCCTAGTATCTGTGTGTTCAACAAGCTGTTCAGATGAGTGGCACCAAATCCCAGCTAATATGCTGAGAGCATGAGACGAGCCAGACCATCTCAGCCTGGAAAAGGCCAAGGACAGGTAGTTTTAATGGTGTTACTGCACTTCCAAACTAGCAGCGGTTTTGGCCTTTCCTTAATGCTTTTGAGGAAGCCACACAGAGGTGGAAAACTGGAGGAACCAGCAGCGTGGATGTGTGTCTGCCTTAGCAAGTTCTGCCCCACACCTGCTGTGACATGGTGCTCCGCAGCCCAGCAGACAGGAGAGCAAAACGGTCACATTGTTAAACACCTGACAAGGGGGGATCATTTCTTACAATTAGCAGCTAGCTCCTGCATTTTGCTTTGTCAGTAATCCAACAGCTTTTACCCATCTCCATAAACAGGGCAGCAACAGGAAAGCAAATAGAGCCTTCTCAGAGGTGAGACTGGGCGTGCTGGTGGGATTCTCAGCCTGTTGTGGTTCGGGTGGATGCCAAGGCAGCGACGTGCAGGCTGTTCAGTTTCTTAGCGCTTGGGAGATGCCTCTTGAGGGGGCCAGCAGAAACAGGAGCGTGATTTGGACACCAGATAGGGCCAACGGGATCGAGAATCGAAGCAAAACTGGGAAGACTGGTCCCTAGCATCAGGTGGACACATCTGAAAGAACATGGCAACTCATTTGCCCCTAAATACTGTGGGATTTAGCAGTGGATGTAACTTTTTCTAAAGTCAAAGCAGCAGAGAACTCCTGAAGACATAGGCAGGACAAAGACACCTTTCCTCCTAAAGCCTGTTCTTCGGGATGGAGGACTGCCCTTCACTTCACAGCCTCCTGTGTAAGAGCCACATGTCCATTTGGACAGGGACCTACCTGAACACATCACTTCGTGGGAGAGCAAAGCACTTTAAAGAGGATACCTGTTTTTCTCCAATGTCTGTGTCATATTTCTCGATCCAGTTCACAATTTCCGTCTCCGCTCTGCGCTTCCTCTGAAACACAAAACAAGTTGGGTTCCATGCAGGCACCTGAAGCCTGGTAAAAAATACCCTGAGTTAGAAGACGGTGTAACTTTGAGCCCCAGCATCATTCTATTTGTGTGTAACACCTCCTCCTTGTGGCAAGCTTCCTTCAGCTGACACATACTTTGTTTGCCCTGGTTTGGAGGTTCTCATGGGACATTCCCTGGGGCCAAAAGGGCCTTATTTTGTTTACAGCATGGAGCTGCGTGAGGCCTGAAGATCGAAAGGCATCTGAAAGGTACATTCTGCAGTAGGAAATGAACATGTCTGATGGAATGTGGCAAGTCATCGACAAACTGGGGCAACCACCCGAAAATTGAAGCAACAGAGAGCTGCTAAACATGAAATCGGGACAGAAAGTACTCAAAAGATGGAGCCTTTTAAAATGAAGATATATTTCTAGCTATAAAAGAGTTTAACAGTGGCCGTACTGCGGCATAACCAGGTCTGAGCAATTTACCCCAAGCTGCTCTATCATCTGCGCTCCACGGAATCATCAAAATCAGGTACAGCCCATCACAAGTGCTGCACGATTCCCTGCATGACACTGACCCAGGATGTCCCAAGGGCTCCCAGGCCATCATGAGGTCAGACCTCAGCTGTTTAGACCACAAATACAACCCTGGGCCAGCCAGGGCTACAGCACGTGCTAAGGAGGGGGAAAGGAGACCTCTGTGGTCCATAAATCTCTGTCTGCCTGAGCACTAGAATAAGCTGAGCAACTCATCAACGAGCACTGCAGGGGCCTGCAGCCTCAGAAGAAGCTGCCATTCCATTAAAGGAGGCGTAAATGGGTGGATTTTGGATTTTGTACTGTGGCTCTAACATGCATTTGATGCTGTCAGTGCCCAGCCCCGCTGCCGCTTTGCTCCACGGCATCCGGTACGAGAGTGAAAGATGCCCCCTTACCCTTGTGTGCTGTTCTGCCCAGGGACAGCCAGTGCTTGTTTGGAGTAAATACCAAGTAGGAGCAAAATGAGAAGAAAAAATGCTCTTTTTCCAGTTCCAGACTCTCTGTGCCCTGTGTCCCCAGCACGTTCTGCTCAGGGCAGAGCTGTCAATGCAGAGGCCTCAGCCTGCCTGCTGCTCCTGCTTTCTCCTTCTGTATCTGCTCAGCACGGTGATAAATCACATTTCCCCCTCGTTCATCCCAACCCAACTCCTTGGCTTGTGTCTTCAGCAAAGTGCCAGACAGAGTGGGAACTGCTCAGCTTCCGAGATCGGCTGTGCTCAGCCTGGAATACTACGATCAACTCTGAAAGATGGCTTTATATTCAGCCAGCATTATGTTTGCTCTGCTCCTGCACCAAATCCCTGCCTGCCTCGCCTGTCCTGCTGTAGCCTTGCTCTCTGCACCCTGACTAGGGCACAGCCTCTCCAGCGTGCGGGATCGCCGGAGGTGTTGTCAGAGCTAAGTCAGCAGGCAGGAGGAAGACCTGTAAGCAGGCTGCTTCCCTGCTGTCGCTGCAGGGTTGCTTTCCACTGCAATCATCAGAGCATGAGGACAGAGCAGGTAAACTCTGACAAACAGCATGTGCATCCTGCCAGCAGCTTGCAGGAACCGAGTAATTACTTGCAGCAGGCAGCGGCCAGACCTGACAGCACTACAAAAGGTTTTAAATCTCCTGTTCTAGAGCTCTCCTACCATTTACCTTTCTGAGAGCCAGCTCTGACGCTCGATGCTCCAGTACAAGGGCACTGAGTTGTGTCCCCAGCTGCTGAATGTCCTGCTGCAGCCTGGCACACCTGGCCTGGGAGCCCTGCAGCTGCTCTTCTCGCTGTTTTTGCCCTTCCTGCTTGAGCTGCTGGATGCTGGCCTTGCAGTCTTTGATCAGATCCTGCATGCTGGTTTTCAGGTCTTTGATCAGGTTGTCCTTCTTGTGAATCTAGACCCAGAAAACAAGAGAAAGAAATACCAGCGAGAAATGCAGGTGAGGCTGAAGGTGGGCAGGAGAAGTAAGGCACCCTTGCAAAGGTGGAGGTGATCTAAGAAGACACTCTGCTGATCTGGGAGCAACAGGGACCCACCACTGCTGGCCAAGGGAACAGAGTTACAGTTACACAAGGTGCTTTGGAAACCTTCCCCCACTGCTCCTCTGTGCGCCTGTGACTAGAGGTAGAGAATGAACAAGCCACACTGAGACCCGCTGGCACTGCCATCTGAGGAAGGGCCAAAATCACTGCCACTGGAGTGAGCCCCGTGGCTCCCTCCAGCTTTGGATTAGGCTCCAAGTGACTGTCCAGGGACCGCAGCTCAGTGTGCTGCCCGCGAGAGAAACCCTCAGCTGGGACCAGTGAAACGGCTTTATTCATGATGCCCTGGACAAGCTGCCAAATTGCACATCAAAATTTCAAGTGTCTCGATTCATGGATCTCCAAGGAGCAGAGGGAATGGGGAAAGCAGCCCCTGTCTCCATTAGCACCATTCAGCACAGCGAGCACATGACAAAACCTTCCCGTCTGACCCTTCTTGCAGGAAGGAGAAAGAAAAAGGATTGTTTGTCAGGAGTTCAGGGGCTTGGATGCTGGCACAGCCCTCGAACTCACAGAAAGAGCCTGGGAAATGCCCATTCATTTGTCTGTACCTCTGTTGCCTTCACTGAAAACATTAGGAATTGGTATAACCGCATATTCATCACAAATGCTCTGAGGCAGCGAGTATTACAGAGTTGGAAATCACAGAAATGTTGGTTTTAAGCAAGAGTGAAGGCAGAGCAGATATAAAAAATGGATTTTAATCAGAGCAATCTCTCCCTGGAATGACTTTTCATTGTTTCAGCAGCAGTGAACGAAGCCTTGCACTGGCAGGTGACGCCCTGCCAAAACACTACCGCAGCGATTTGTGCCCGTCCTGCAGCTCCCTTTTAAACCCGGTGACTTGTGTCATACAAGTTGGCTGGTGAGAACAGGTTCAAAACGTGCCAAATTCAAGTTTAAAAAAAAATCAAGCATGTAATAAGCATTTTTCATTATATTTTACAATGAAAACAGTATCTTTAAATTTAGGATCTGGTTTAGAAATCATTTCTGGAACTTCTTTGAGAACTGCAAGAAGGGGATCAGCTTTTAGCTTATCAAAGTTTTGCTTCAGTAACGTTTTGTTGGAAAACATATTCCCACAATATCATACCTCCTCCTCTCGAGCCCGGGTTGCTGCTGCCAGCTGTGCCTGTAAAGCTGTGATTGCTTCAGTGTTTTTCTCAATCTGAAGGGAGATGTCTTCCACGAACTGAATCTTCTCTTCCTCTTCCATGGGACTAGTCAGGAGTCTCTCAAGCATGAAGCTCCTGAACTCCCCAAAGGCTTTGATAAACGCTTCGGCTGGTGGCCCTCTCACCCAGGCTTCGTGTTTCAGAGCCTGGCAAAGCGAAGGGTTGGCCAGCAAGAGTCTCAGGACGTTTCTAACAGAACATTTCAGATGCTGCTCTAGCAAGCAGACACAGCCCCGTCGTTCCTCAGCTCTCGCAGTGTCCCCTTCTTCAGAGCTGGACAGCAGGTGCTCCATTTCATTGGAAAGCTTTCGGTGTTCGATCAGGTTGGTTGTGATCTCAGGTCCCAGCATGTCAGCAAACTTGTCCAGAGAGCTGATAATACATGGAATCAAACTGCTCATCTCCAGCTTGGCAATCACCTCATCCAAGACAGCTACGATTCTTTCCGTTTCAATGCTATTGGGTTTTAACTGACGTCCATCTAATGTCTTCATGGCATCTAATGTGATCATTGCCATCTTTGAAGCTGCCATGACCTTTACCAGGGGCTTTTTTTAGCCAGGGGCAATCCCAGAGGGTCGGGAGCCAGGGGGCTGGGGGTATCTCAGGGGTCAGCTCCTGTCAGGGGGTCGGTCCCGGGCTGCCTCCAGTCCCTGCAGCGCACTTGGTCCCAGCCTGGTCCAGATCCCGATCCTGGTCCCTGTCCCAGCCCCGTCCCGGTTGTGGTCACTACTGTGCCCTCCTACCGCTGGGCCGCTGCCAGCGTCCTCTGGTTGCTAGGCAACCCAAGGGGGGCGGGGCCTCTCCCAACAGCCTATGGTCACCCAGCAATGAAGGGGTTAAAATTTCTGTAAGAATTTCCTGAAGGGTTTAGTAGGGAGTTTGCACACACCTCAGGAACATAATGGGATGAGCATCCCTGAAGCTGCTGGGAGCGATGAGAAGGGAGACTCTTTATCCAGAACTGTCTGCCCTTGGAGAGAACATCCCAAAAATGTATAAACTTTATTCTCATGTTTTTCTGAGCTGTGAGCATGTAGTGACATTGGGAAAAGGTAATTCTGGCAGGAGGAGATGGCGACCACCTGCCCTGAACATACCCCAGACCCAAAAGAAAGGGATGGAGGAAAGAACTGAGCATGCGAAGGAATTTACATGTAAAGCGAGAGAAAATTAACCAATTGTTTAAGAATATGTAAATATGCTATGAATATGCGTGATTGTAGTGAATAACTAAGTTTCTGTCCAGGGGCCAGGTGTCCATGCCAGGAGGAGCTATCCCCCCTGTGTGCGGTGCCACGACAGAGCAACGCCACTCTGTAACACTGCAAACTGCAATGGAGAGTTCCTGTCGGGATTGTCGGTGACACTATGGCGATGGGCGCTCGCCCCAACCTCAGCGTTGCCGCTCACTTGATGGGCAACGCCGTGTCTGATGAGCAGCTCCGTGACGGCGAGCAGCAGTGAGGGAGGTGGGCACCACGGTGGCTGCGGGCCCGGGGAGCAGAGCGGTGGGGAGCGGAGAGTGGGAGGAAGGGGTCCATGTCTGTGGAGATGGAAGACTCCTGCTCTGGCTTTCCAACAGCTGTATGGTGGAGAAGAGGCACCCCAGGCAGTGCGTGCTCACAGCAGCGTTCTCTCCACGCCCCTGGCAGTGCATTCCTGAGAGTCCTCAAAATAAGCTGGAAAATATACCTTATACCCCCGAGATGTAGTCTCCCAGGCCCTGGTTGTAAAAGAGGAAAAATGAAGTAAGGGCAACACGTCAATGAGACAACTGAGGAGCCCTGAGGGGATTGGCTGTGCCACTGAGCATGGGGAAGGGGCCGCCAGCTGCCCACTGGACGGGCAGACGGAGGTGTCGGGAGGACGAGGGAATTGGTGGTGGAGCCGTCCATAGAACCCACCAGGTGTGAGATGAAGCCTTTGCCATGGTCAAAGTGAGGAAAGCTCGTGGAAGAACAGGAATG